CAAAGTATAAGAAACAAATGATGGCAGGATGGCAGGAAGAACCTCACACACAAGCAGAGTGGGAGGCTCCACAGCCCCCTTTCAGCCATTCATGTTCTAAGCAACAAAACATCAGAAGGATGCAGAAAGTCCCAATAGTAAACCATGTCCATCACATCCATGCAGCCATCGTCCATCATCCTGTATCTCGGGAACAAATGTTGGAGCTACACTGGTTTTAAGCATGCATGGTACATTTACAAAAATTAACCTGACTTATTTTGTTCATGAAGCAAATCTCAGTATATTTCAGACAAATCCAATCACACAGCAGTTTTCTGATATAGAATTGTGCTAGAAGTCAATGATTAAAAGCTAACCAAAAATTATTATATGCTTGGAAATTCAAAGTGCCCTTATAAGATATCAACAGAAGGAAGAATCCAAAGTGAAACAAGACTGAGTTTACCCTCAGTGAGAAGATCATAACATGGCAATCAAATGTCTCCCTCTGGCCCAGGAATTCCACTGTGTGGCACAAGGTTGTGTGGTCTCACATCACCCCTAACCCCCCCTAGACATGTTAATATCTGAAACAGGGTGATGGTGTCACTTATGTATATTATCTTGCTGCCTGTGAAGGTGGACTTTTAAATCTGAACCCTAATGAGGGGGAGAAAACCAAGTTGACTCTCATGGTTAAGCTCCCAAAGATGTCCAAGGAATCTGTGTGCATTTCAAGAGACAAAGTTCATCAGCCTCTCTCCTGGGGGATTTGGCCACAATACCCAGAGGGTTTGGCAGCATCACAAGTGATGGCTAGGGAGTGCCAAGCTGGTGGGCAGGACCCAAGGGCCTGGTGACCAGGTCAGACCCCCACTGTCCATAATCTTTCCTGGACCCATCCTCAGCTAAATCTCCCAAAGGCCTGCTTCTGCCTGATCGCACAGAGTGTGCTCAAACGTACTCATGGCTCTCACAGCTGAAAACCACTGCCTTAAATCTCCTTACAATTTCCTATGACATAAAGTTATTGTAAACTGCAAATATTCTATTCATGCTACAAATGGAAAGCCAATGCCTTTACCATAAATAGAAAAACAACCCGAGACACAAGGAAAACAAAAACAAAACAGGGATAACACAACTGTGGCATTCATTTCTAGTCGTATGCTGTCACCTGCATAAAGAGCTCCAGATTTGGGTTGTCTTGGTTGTAAAAGGAGAGACCAAGTAAGTGGGTGTTGAAGTCATATTAGCCCAAAAATGAATAGCAGAGAATACCCTCATGTCCATGAAGCGTTGCTGGGGTCACCTTGATTATAGCCCAAGCAGAGACAGGGCAAGGAAGGAGATGTGAGCAGAATTTGGGGCCTCAAACAGGGGAGGTGATTCATGCAGCCCAGGAAAGGCTCCTCAAAGCCAGGGTCAACCTCCCTTGCAGGTAGGTCCCTCATGGAGACAGGACCAACACCTTAGATTTGAGACCAGCTGTGCTACTGACCAGCTGTGTGACCCTGGGTTGATTTCCTTCCACACAATGTGAGTGTCAATGGCCGTGTCAAAGACTATCTGAGGATAGGAGGAAGCAACCTGTTGAGCACCTGCGTATCGAATGTCATCACCTCCCAAGGACATCTTTCCTTCTAGAGCTGGCACCTTGGAAGGTCCTTGGCCACTAAAGACAGTAATGATGGTAACAGCAGCAAATCATCATTTATGGCTGTTGAGGGAGGGCTAGGGGGTAGGGCTCTAGGTCCTTGATAAGAATGAGGGTCTGGGGACTCCTGGGGACAGCTGAGTGAGTCCTGTAGGACTCCTGGGTCCCCAGGGGCCAGGTCTGTCTTCAGTGGCATTGGGCCTAGGCTGGGATGCTGAGGCAGCCACTGGAGCATCAGTAGTACAAACAGGCACAGAGGCAGTGGATCCATCAGAGGTGACAGGTGTAGGATCATTTGTATACCAAGTAGAGTCACCAAGCCTGGCTGACCACAGTCCCCCACAGATGATGCCCTGTCCCTTGCCTCACACTTTGACAGGGCAGCGGCTGACACCGGGGGCCTCATGGAGCATCACTGAAAGATCTCTGAGTCCTGGTCATTGAATGGGCACTTGAGTCACCCAGGGCCATTGGAACAAGGAGGAAGAATCAGGCCCCATGATGTTTTGGGACAGTGTTTAGGACAGGAAAATGCACAGAATGCATGCACGACACAGGGGAACTGTTGGTGTGGGAGCCAATATTTTATGACCTCCAGCCCTAATCTGAGCACTTTCACCTGTGCAATCTGAAAGAAACAGGAGACTTGCAGGAAAGACAGTGCCTGGATTTAACTTAAAGGAACTAAAATGTTGAATGTTCACACTCCTGATATACTTCCAAATCAACTCTCTCAGTGCTCCCATCTTCACCACTCTCATGTGGGGTAAATGAGGCAGTCAGAGATTTACTGACTCAGTGGCTCGCAGTTGACTTCTGAGTTCACTGCTGATCACATCTGAACAAACTGCTTTTTCTGAAGTTTACCCAGTTTGATCATGCTGCTGATGATTTTGTGCAGCTCTGGGAAAACTCTACCTGGTGGAGGATAAAGCAAATGCACAATGACTCAGCCCTGCTGTCATTTCCCATCAATTCCCCGTTCTTCTCCTCTGTCCCTCCACAGTCTCCCACACAGGCTGACACCGTATGGTGGCCTTAATGGAGTCCACAGAGTATTTCAGGTTCTCCTCTAGGCCCCCTGAAGGTAGAGGTACTTATGGGATTTGCTTTGACTCAGGAGATGTGAGTGGAAGTGAAGTGTGTCACCTCAAGGCAAAAGAGTTAGGAGCCATTGAGACTGGCCACCTTTCCTTCATCTCTTAGAGCCACTGAGGTCCCATACGGAGGCTGCTCCTTTATTCTGTTGGCAGATGAGGGTATGTGGAGCATAGGGCCCAGGAGAACCATGAAGGATGTGCAGCATGAGCAGACAAAGAGCCTTCAGTGTTGTACATCCATTGTTTGGGGCTGTTTATTACCTACAGTGATACCTAGTCCATCCTAGCAGGCATGCACTATCTATTTATTCCATGCTCTGTGAAGCAGTCTAGCCTACTGTCAGAACGTGAACTACCTGTCAGGCACTGGTAGGCTTCAGTTCCAGCTCTGCCTCTTATTAACTGCAACCTCAGGCATTTAACTTTCAGTCTCTGAGCCTCAGTTCCAACTCTCTAAAATGGGTTGGCTATATTATCTCAGGCTGTGGAGAGAATTAAATGAAATAAAAATGCATGTAGAGCATTGAGCCCAGGGCCTGGCACACACAGTGAGTACTCAGCGTTAGCCATGTAGCTTCAGAATGCATATTGATTGTCAATACCCAGACAATGCAGCAAAGTATTACAGAAAGAGAAATGTAAACTTATTTGCATATGTATTCTTTCAATCTTTATTTTTGAACAGATAGGATAAAACTATGGGTCAGGCAAAGTGGTTCACACCTGCAATCCCAGCAGTTTGGGAGGCCATGGTGGGTGGATCATGAGGTCAGGAGTTCAAGATCAGACCGGCCAATATGGTGAAATCCTGTCTCTACTAAAAAATACAAAAGTTAGCCAGGCGTAGTGGTGTGCACCTGTAACGCCAGCTGCTCAGGAGGCTGAGGCAGGAGAATCACTTGAACCCAGGGAGGCAAAGGTGGCAGTGAGCTGAGATCATAACACTGTACTTCAGCCTGAGCGACAGAGTGAGACTCTTGTCTTGAAAAATAACAAACCATGTATATTCTTTCATAGCCAGTGTTTTTCTCTTAAATATTATATCCTTAAAATATTTTTAGCTCAAAAACAAAAGATCATTTTTGAGATTATCATTTTAAATGACAAGATAATGCTCAATTTAATGAGTAATTTAATTATTACTATCGGACTTTTTGTAGACTGCAAAGAGCATTCAAAACAAATGAAGTAGAATAAAAAATATGTATTACATATTGTAAATACGACTTTGTTAAGTCTTTTATCCAGAAATATGGAACATATATACGGAATATAGAATTTATTTATTACGAGTCATGTTAAAAAATAGTTAAGAAGCTAATGATTTGTTTCCTTTTCAAATTTTGCAGGATAATTTGTTTGTTTGTTTTGACAGAGTCTTGCTCTGTGCTGAGGCTGGAGTGTAGTGGCACAATCTCAGCTCATTGCAACCTCCTCCTCCTTGGTCCAAGCAATTTTCCTGTCTCTGCACCCTGACTAGCTGGGACTACAGGCGTGTAGCACCATGCCTGGCTAATTTTTGTATTTTTAGTAGAGACAAGGTTTCGCCATACTGGTCAGGCTGGTCTTGAACTCCTAACCTCAGGTGATCCACCCACCTCTGCCTCCCAACATGCTGGGATTACAGGCATCAGCCACCAAACCCAGCCCAAATTTTGCAGGATAATAAGTAATCTTTAGGCCAAGTGCAGTGGCTCACCCCTGTAATCCCAGACCTTTGGGAGGATGAGGCACGAGGATTGTCTGAGGTCAGGAGTTCAATACTGGCTTGGCTAACATGGCGAAACCCCGTCTCTACTAAAAGTACAAAAATTAGCCAGGTGTGGTGGCACATGCTTGTAGTTCTAGCTACTTGGGAGGCTGAGACAGGAGAATTGCTTTGACTCAGGGGGCAGAGTTTGCAGTGAGCCAAGATCACACCACTGCACTTCAGTCTCGGCAAGAGAGCAAGACTCTGTCTCAAATAAATAAACAAATAACCTTTTTAAGTATCGTTGGGCACTTGTCTGGTTGTTTTTCTTTAGGTTAACTTGCCAGCAGTGATTCTTTTTGAGTTTCTGACACAAGATAGCAGTTTTTAATCCAAATAAGTCAACTAGTCTGCCCCATCCATGAGACACTGGTATGGAAGGAAAAAGGAGGAAAAAGCCAGTACTGTGACTGCCTATGCTTCCCCCAGCATGGCCCCCTGTGAGACGTGGGGCAGCAGAGACCAGGAACTGTTCAAGGGTGCCAGGCCTCATCTGTCTGCACTCACTCACCTTCCTCAGGTACTCGAATGGGGGATGGCACTGACTTTACATGCTGCTGCAGCTCCTGGTGAGCTTGCCTTGGTTATGGGACAGGAACCATGGGGTCAGGACAATAGAGGGCTTCACCGCCTGCAGAATGGGAACAGAAGCTCACGATGAGTGCCAATCTATTAGGCAATTTTTTAAAAAAATGTTTGTTGAATGAGTGGAAAAACAAGGTGATGCTTGAGTCTATAGTGGTCAAGAGCATGGGGGACTCAGAAAAGGTCAGAACCAAGTTCAAATTCCTGTACTTTGAATTTCTACTTCATGCCATGCAAAATCACTTTACCCCTCTTCACCTCAGTTTCCTTCTGTGTGAAATGGGAACAATAAATTTCATTCCTCATTCAGTTTCTGCCAAGGATTCATGAGATAATACCTCTAAAACATCTAACTCATTTAAATGTATCATCATTTCTGTCATAACTAGTAGGATCAATTTCACTATTATTGCATATACAGTTCTGTGCCTGAAATCTACAAAATAAAGAAAGAAAGAAAGAAAGAAAGAAAGGAAGGAAATCTTACCTCTAAAAAGTGTCAGTGATTTGTCATTTTTATATTATTAATCATAACCATATTTAATCACGCAAGGCCTTGTACATGGCAGGTGCTCAATAAACACTTGTGGAAACAATGCATGTGGGCTCTGCAGCCGCATTGTTTGGGTCCTATTCGGCCTCCACCACTTATGAGCTGAGTGATTTGGGCAAGATAATTCACCTCTTTATGTCTCCATTTCCTTTGCTATAAAATATAGATAATAAGAATCCGTAGCTCCTTAGGTTGTTGCCAGGGGTGAATGATTTGGCACATAGTAGGGGATTTTTAAACATTAGCTGTGATGACCTCCTTCTGAATCTTCCTTTTCAGGGCCACAGATGAGGCCATAGTGCCACCTGGTGACCCCAGAGTGTAAGTACACATGATCGCCAATATGCTCTCTCTCCACCACAGGTCCCAGACTGGCTAGTTACTGCCTGGAGGTTTCTGCTGCATCTGCCGTCTCAGGGCTGACATAAAGACTTTTGTATTTTCCTCCTCACATTCCTGCAGATGGGGTTCAGGTTGCCCGGCACAGCTGGGTGATCCACAGAGCAGTGACCGCCTATGCCAGCCCTGTGAGGTAGCTGGAGAATGTTCCTTCCTTCTCAAGCTCTGGGCAGATGCCAGGGCTGGGGTGATCCATGCCCTCAAGTTTCTTGTTTTGGAGGGTCACATTTTCTGTTGGCAAGGAAAGCAAAGGTCACAGGAAGCCAGAGACCTGGGACGTCTCTGTGCCATGGGCCCAAACAATAAAGACCTGAACACTCTATGCTAAAAGCCCAAGGCTCGGGTGCTCCCCAGGGCTTCACACCTCATGGCCTCTGCTGAGGGAGGATGAATACTATGTCCTCCCAGAGCTTTGGGAGCTTGTAGCAATTAGCCTCCCCAGCACAAAATCTCCTGGAAACCTCAAACAGTGTCTAAAACACTCATGCACATTTTGTATCCTATTTCCCATACGTAAGAATGTTTTAGAAAAAAACCTCAATTTCCTAAATATGCAAGAGAAATGGATATTGTAGGACGATGTGGCTTTTTAAAACTTGTTGTTATGTAGGCTGGGGATGGTGGCTCATGCCTGTGATCACAGCACTTTGGGAGGGTGAGGTGGGCGAATCACCTGAGGTCAGGAGTTCGAGACCAGCCTGACCAACAAGGATAAACCCCATGTCTACTAAAAATACAATATTAGCCAGGTGTGGTGGAGCAGCCCACTAATCCCAGCTACTTGGGAGGCTGAAGCAGGATAATCGCTTAAACCTGGAAGGCGGAGGTTGTGGTGAGCCAAGATTGCACCATTGCATTCCAATCTAGAAAACAAGAGCAAAACTCTGTCTCAAAATATATATATAGTTATTTAAAAATCTTCCCCACCCCCTTTCAGAACTCCAAGAATGCTAAATACTTGTTCAACAAATATTATTAAATGCCTACTATGGGCCAGGTGCAGTGGCTCACATTTGTAATCACAATACTTTGGGAGGCTAAGGCGGATAAATCACTTGAGGCAAGAGTCTGAGACCAGCCTGGCCAACATGGTGAAACCCCATTAGTACTAAAAGTACAAATATTAGCCGGGCATGGTAGTGCACGCCTGTAATCCCAGCTACTAGGGAGGCTGAGGCAGGAGCCACTGCACTCCAGCCTGGGCAACAGAGCAAGACTCCATCTCTAAATAAATTAATTAATCAATTAAATAAATAAATAAATGCCTACTATATGCCAGCCACGATTCATGATCTTGAGCTGTAGCAGAGAACAAACTGACAGGGTTCCTCTCTCCTGTAACTTACATTATTATATGATAACGATAAGGGTTAACATTAATTAAGCTGTTACTACATGTTAGTCACAGAGCAAAGTCATTCTCACCCATTGTTACACTTAAACCTGCTAGCAAGCTTACAAAGGACATAGTTTTTTTTTTTTCTCTGAAAAACTGAGTGTTGGACAGGCATGGTGGCTCACCCTTGTAATCCCAGCACTTTGGGGGGCTGAGGAAGGTGGATCACCTAAGGTCAGGAGTTCGAGACCAGCCTGGCCAACACAGTGAATCCCCCTCTCTACTAAAAATACAAAAATTAGCTGGGTGTAGTAACTGGCACCAGTAATCCCAGGACTCCAGTGGTTGAGGCAGGAGAATCACTTGAACCCAGGAGGAGGAGGTTGCAATGAGCCAAGATCGCACCATTACACTCCAGCCTGGGTGACAAGAGCAAAACTCTGTCTCAAAAGAAACAAATGAAAAAAATCAACAAAAAACTAAGTCTCAGAATGATGAAGCATTTTGTCCAATGTGACACAGCTAGTAAGTGTTGAGACCTCGCAGCCAATCAAAGCTGTCTGATTCTAAACGCCATGCTAAGTGTTCTCTAGCCCATGGAGAATAATTGTAACACAATTGATGACATTCCTACACAACAATATTCTTGTCTCAAGTCCCAGAGTCCCTCCTATACTGCCAATAACACTGGCTTTCCAGTCAGTAAAGATGCCACTCTAATGCGTAATCAGGTGGCAAATGGCGATGTGACCAAAGTTATCATGTGTGTACACCCATAGCCTGTACCCACTCGTCCTGTGTTTGATTAAATTCAAGTATTCTTTTTGATTACTGAGCAAAACTGAGCTTAAAAACGGGTTACAGTTTTTTTTGTTTGAGACTGAGTTTCTCTCTGTTGCCCAGGTTGGAGTGCAATGGCACCATCTCGGCTTACTGCAACCTCCGCCTCCCAGATTCAAGTAATCCTTGTGCCTCAGCCTTCCTAGTAGCTGGGATTATAGGCATGTGCCACCATGCTTGGCTAATTTTTGTATTTTTAGTAGAAGTGGGGTTTCGCCATGTTGGCCAGGCTGGTCTTGAACTCCTGATCTCAGGTGATCCATCCACCTCGGCCTCCCAAAGTGCTGGGATTATAGGAGTGAACCACTGCACCCGGCCTAAAGGGTTAAGGTTTTTATATCCACATAACTTTCTATATTGCTTTTGAAGTCCCTGGTTAAATGAATATTCTTTATTTATTTTTGAGAATGAGTCTCGCTCTGTTGCCCAGGCTGGAGTGCAGTGGCAAAATCTCGGCTCACTAAAACCTCCACCTCCTGGGTTCAAGCAATTTTCCTGCCTCAGCCTCCTGAGTAGCTGGGACTACAGGCACTTGTAACCATGCCCAGCTGATTTTTTGTATTTGTAGTAGAGACAGGGCTTCACCATGTTAGCCAAAATGCTCTCGATCTCCTGACCTCGTGATCCACCCACGGTGTTCTCCTAAAGTGCTGGGATTACAGGCATCAGCCACCATGCCTGGTCTGAATATTCTTTTAAAAGTGACCTGTGATTCTCTTCTGATCAAGTACTTTCAAACTTGATGTCTTTGATGGGTTTCATCAGCATCAAAATCCTAAATCAAGTATTTTTGGTTTAAAATTAACTTTGGGATTTTTCAGCTGGGTCCCTTGGGGAGTCTAAAGAATGTATCTCTGATCTTGTAGAGATATTAAATGATTAGATTTATTTGGCAGGTTGTATGGGCAGGCATTGTCAAATGTGGTGATACTGCATGGGAGGGCATAGTCAGGCGAGGTGACAGTAGATCTCATCTCAGTTATATTTATGGGTATATTGTTGATATACATGTTCCAAAAATTATATACATTTGTACAATTTTAATATGTTATAATTTGTAATTTTGATTGTTATGCTAAATATTTGCTAAAGTCGTATATATAAAAACAAGTTATTAATGGCTTGGCATGGTTGCTTATGCCTATAATCCCAGCACTTTGGGAGACTGAGGCAGGTGGATTAACTGAGGTCAAGGAGTTCAAGACCCACCTGACCAATATGGTGAAACCATGTCTCTACTAAAAATACAAAAATTAGCCAGACTACATGCCTGTAGTCCCAGCTACTTGGAAGAGTAAAGCAGGAGAATTGCTTGAATCAGGGAGGTGGAGGTTGCAGTGAGTAGAGATGGCACCACTGCACTCCAGCCTGGGTGACTGAGGAAGACTCCATCTTAAAAAAAAAAGTTAATGCATTCTGAAGATTTTATGAAATTTATAAAAGTCTGGTGTTCCAGCCAGGTGAGGTGGCTCATGCCTGTAATCCCAGCACTTTGGGAAGCCGAGGCAGGCAGATCACGAGGTCAGGAGTTCGAGACCAGTGTGGCCAACATGGTGAAACCCCGTCTCTACTAAAAATGCAAAAATTAGCAGGGCTAGGTGGTGCACACCTGTAATCTCAGCTATTCAGGAGGCTGAAGCAGGATAATTGTTTGAACCCAGGAAGAGGAGGTTCTGGTGAGCCGAGATTACTCCACTGCACTCCAGCCTGGGCAATACAGCGAGACTCCATCTCAAAAACAAACAAAAAATGGTCTGGTGGTCCTGATGTGATGCTGTCAGTCATGATTCCGGTTACTGCCTTAAAATGCTGCACATAAAATCAGGAATTAAATATTCTTGTGAATTGGGAACTTTCATCAATTCTCATCATAACTACTGTTTCCATCACCTGTAGTTACCATTCTGAATTCTACTCTAAAAATATTTGTAATCAGCAATACTCCAAATTTTCTTTTTCTTTTTTTTCCTGTTTTTTTGAGCCAGAGTCTCACTCTGTCACCTAGGCTGGGCACCTACTCTACTGCAACATCTGCCTCCTGGGTTCAAGCGATTCTTCTGCCTCAGCCTCCAAAGTAGCTGGGACTACAGGTGCCTGCCACCACACCCAGGTAATTGGTGGCAGTATAGATGGGGTTTCACCACGTTGGCTGGGCTGGTTCTGAGCTCCTGACCTCATGATCTGCCATCCTCAGCCTCCCAAAGTGCTGGGATTACAGCCATGAGCCACCGAGCCCTGCCCCCAAATTTGCCTTGTATGGAAAAAACTCTAAGGAACCATCTTGTACACAGGTTTCTGATAACTCACATCAATGAACTACTCAGGCTTCACCACTATGTGATACAGGCTTGTGAGAAACTTGCGCTTATACCCCCTAAATACATTACAAATAAATATTTTTTTAAAAAATCAATGGGCTGGGTGCAGTGCCTCATGCCTGTAATCCCAGCACTTTGGGAGGCCAAGGCAGTGAATCACTTGTGGTCAAGAGTTTGAGACCAGCCTGGCTGACACGGTGAAACCCCGTGTCTACTAAAAATACAAAAATTAGCCAGGCATGGTGGATCATGTCTGTAACTCAGCTACTCAGGAGGCTAAGGCATGACAATAGCTTGAATCTGGGATGTGGAGATTGCAGTGAGCCAAAATTGTGCCACTGCTCTCCAGCCTGGTCGACAGTGAGATGCAGTCTCAAAAATAAAAATAAAAATCAATGAACTAAAAACCAATTTCTAGAACTCTAATAAGGAAACCTAAGGGTTCAAAAAACTGATAAGCAAGATCAAGCAAAGCAAAAAATCTGTTAAAATAATGTTTTTATAACTTGTATTTAAAACATTTTTGATTTATTACCTTTTTTATTTTTTGAGACAGTCTTACTCTGTCGCCCAGGCTGGAGTGCCATGGTGCAATCTTGGTTCCCTGCAACCTCCCCTTCCTGAGTTCAAGCGATTCTCCTGCCTCAGCCTCCCGAGTAGCTGGGACTGCAGGCACACGCCACTAAGCCCAGCTAATTTTTGTATTTTTAGTAGAGATGAGGTTTCACCATGTTGGTCAGGCTGGTCACAAACTTCTGATTTCAGGTGATCCCAGCCCCTTCTTCCCCTCCCCGTTCCCCCTCCCTCCTCCTGCCTGGGACTTCCAAAGTACTGGGATTACAGATGTGAGCCCCATGCCCGGCCCTTTACTTGTTTTGTCTTCTAGATTTAAGAAACGTATTTCTTAAAAGTCATCTATAATTTACACTGATTTGGTAAACCACAATTTTGTGAACAAAGGTGGGTTGAAGCGTTTGTTTTTCCTCTCCCTTCTTGATCCCTCCAAAGTTTGGAAACTATTCATAAATCCTTTTTTTTTTTTGAGATGGAATCTGGCTCTGTCGCCAGGCTGGAGCGCAGCAGTGATGTGATCTCAGCTCACTGCAACCGCTGCCTCCTGTGTTCAGACGATTCTTCCACCTCAGCCTCCTGAGCAGCT